TACAATTTCGGGTGGAAATTGCTGAAGCTTTAATGAAATCGGTTGTACCTAAACGTTCAATTCGACGAGGTCGACCACCTTTACGTCTTCGATCAAAAGAAAATACTCCATTACCTCATCCTCGAGTTGCACCTATTCGAACTCCACCAGCTAGTATTCGACTCGATGGATTCAATCACTGGCTAATGTCAGCAACCAAAGAACGTTGTCGTCATCATGGATGCAACATTGTGTTCCATTCATTGAAAGATAAAAGTCTTTTTTTGGTATTTTGATCCACTTCGGCCGGCTGTTGCCTTTTGGCAACATCGCGGTATTTAGTTATAAATCAATTCTTTGATCCCCAAATTTAAATATGATCATCCTCATGGTGAAACAAGAAAAAATATGTATCATAAGAATTTTTTTCTTAACGGCTTCTAGGAGCCGGCCGTAAAGGGTTAACTGTCATTTACAGTCTATTATTTTCTATATGATGCATTCTGTGTTCTATTTTAGAAAACACTGCTACTACCGTAATTGTTTTTTCGGAACCGATACATATATCTGATTATTACGGCAATTGAATGTCAGTCGTTGCAGAAATATAGATTCATTGAAATACTTCGTTGTCACACGAACACACATATACTTCCATAGTTTCAACAGGAGTTTCTAAGCGAAAATCATTGAAACAGCACATGTAACTGATTTGAAAAAATGATGTGTTTAATAAATATCCATCTTCCTTATGTATTTCTCACTGTGTTTTAGAACTTTGAGAATGAAGAAGTATCATACAAAGAAACAAAAAGTTATTTAAACCCATAGCAATGTCAACGTCTCACAAAAAACAGGTTTCCGCAATTTTTCTGTTTTTTGTATTTTCTCTTTCCGCGTTTTTCCGCTTTTCCGACTTGACCAGGTGGCATCCCTGGTGTGGGTGTAGGATCTCTTTCATCACACCAACACTCACACTCACACCCACACCACACCCACACCCATACCCACACCCACTTGCACCCACACCCACATCCCACCCCCACCCAAACCCACATCCACACCCACACTCATCAAATGGTGAAAACCGCAGACCGATAGCTATTTCCATTAAAATGTTATTCAAAAAACAACCACCCTTCTTCTATTTTGAGATGGGCAATAGTTCGTTGTTCTTCTTTATTTGTACTCGTTATTGTTATGCTTTATAAATTGATACAAATCAACGTGCCTCATGGGAAGCGACAGTTCTATCAAATCCTATTAATCCCATAAGAATTTTGAAAAACCTTGCCATCCCATTGGAAAAACACATTTCACAAAAGCTATGATTTTCTTAACAACTATCCAACAATGTCGATATGGTTATTTTTCTCGCTTATTCAAGCAAAACTAGTGGTCAATAATTATTTTTTTATACTAAAAGTGGTTGCAATTTATAACTATTGAAACTACTTAGATAAAGTAGACAAAAATCAGACAAAGGATAAAAAAAATTACAAGTAGATAATTTTTAATACGATGTGGACCGTGAATCATGGTAGAAGAAAAACATGATCAGTCATACTCATACTCACATTGACATCTACGATAATTCCCAATAACCAAAGAGACAAACATTGTCTCATGTACACATTCATTGCACCTTTACTTCTCAATCCCAATATTCTGAAGCAGAACTTGAAGTTTTGAATAAGTCACTGTATAAGCAGCTCTAGCTCACTCTCTGTGTAAAAATGAATCATTCAGTCCGTATCTAGAACAAAGAAAAAAGATCAAAACTTTGCACACAGTGAAGACCGACACTTAATTCCAATTCAAACAATACGTGATATTTTCTTTTTGAATAAAACGTTAGTATTCTTCAAAATGCAGTCAAACAATCATGTCGTTACTAACTTTACTGTTGTTTGCTCTTTTAACTACTGCTGCTGCTACAACCAAAAATTGTCGAACTCGATCATCCATTGAACAGTCTCTAACCGATACTCACATTCCAGGAACTGGAATTATTGTAGTCAATGGAACTGATATAATATACCAACAAGCTTTCGGCTATCACACTCTTTCTCTACCACAATCTATCGATTTGGGCATGTCGATCTTCGTTGTAGCCTCGATAACTAAAACATTCGTTGCCGTTGCTGTCATACAACTTGTCGAAGTAAATCTGATTGATCTGGATACCGATATAAATTATTATCTATTATCCACTGATCCACGAATATTTCGTCCATTCTATCCTTCTCATACAATTACTTTATGTCAATTACTTTCACATTCAGTATCCATTGATACAAATGGTGAAATGCCATTCGCTTCAATACAACCTGATGATGCCGCATTACGAAAGACATCTTTGGCTGACAGATGTTTTACATATTTAAATTCCAACGCATCGAATTGGCTACCATAAGTACCAGGCACTGTATCACTCTATTCAAATATTTGACACATCTCTTGCTACGTTGATTGTCGAACGAATAACGAAAACGCCATACGAACGTTATGTCAGAGAAAAAATTTTCAATCCGCTTAGTATCAAAGTTGGCGAAGCAGGTTTTCAGCTTTCAGATATTCATCATAAGGAAAGGTTGGTTGAACATTATGCATTCAATGCATCTTACTTGAAAGAATGGAGGCGACAATTACCACAGTTAGATGTTACGCAAGTAATGCGTAAAGGACAATAACTATATAGTAATATTAAATTTTAGCCTTGTTGTAGAGTAACGTTACTAATTGGCCTCACATTCCATTCTTTAGCATACCAGACTATGCTTCTAGTCTTATGTGAATGTCAGCTGTTTATTTGTCTTTATTTCTACGCATGTTTATGAACAATGGGTCTTCTATATTGTATCCTCATTCCATTGTTGAAATACGAACACCGGTTGACGGTGTCGTTCCTTACCAAGATCTTCACTCTCCCAGTAATCAATCGTTACTACCACCACCAAAATATGGCCTCATTTGGAACTGGCAAACAATGCCTAATGGCCATCGTTTCATTGGTCACAACGGTGTAATGCCTGGTGCCACGAACCTAATGGTGATCAACGAACAAGGTACTATTGGTACGATTTTTTCTTCGAATACGGATGCCATGATTGGCAATGATGCATCGATGAAGTTTTTTGACACAGTGATGGGTATTGTACTGTCACTATTTGATTGCTTCGAAAGTTAAGAATTTTTTTTCGTTGGGCGTTTGATACATCCTTCTTTTCTACTATATTCCCTCTACTGAAAGGAGGGTCATACACCGAGCAAGTTCCGTATGTTCGTAACTTCGTTCGTACGTTCGTTCGTTCGCACAGAACGAAAAAAGGTTTTTTTGACCTCTCATATCACTCGTCTTACAACAAAAGCCCAATAAGGTTATTTTTGGTCGGGATTTCGACTAATAAGGTTTTTTGACATTGCGGTTTCAACCAATAGGATTTCAGGGAAGGGCCAAATCAGCCAATTAGATTTCTTTAGCCCGTAGTTTGGCCCAATAAGGTTATTTTTGGCCGAAATTTCGACCGACAAGGATTTTTGACATTGCGGTTTCAATCAACACGATTTCGGAGGGGGGGGAGGGGGGCTAAATCAGCCAATCAGATTTCTTTGGCCTGTAATTTGACCCAGTAGGGTTATTTTTGGTCGGGATTTCGACCAATAAGGTTTTTTGACATTGCGATTTCAACGAATGGGATTTCAGGGGGAGGACACATCAGCCAATCAGATTTCTTTGGCCTGTAATTTGGCCCAGTACGATCATTTTTGGTCGGGATTTCGACCAGTAAGGTTTTTTGACATTACGGTTTCAACCAACGGGATTTCAGGGAGGGGGGGACAAATCAGCCAATCAGATTTCTTTGGCCTGTAATTTAGCCCAATAAGGTTATTTTTGGTCGAGATTTCGACCAATAAAATTTTTTGACATTGCGGTTTCAACCAATACGATTTGGGGGGGGAGGGCAAATCAGCGAACCAGATTTCTTTGGCCTGTAATTTGACCCAGAAAGGTTGTTTTTGGTTGAGATTTCGACCAATAGGGTTTTTTGACATTGCAGTTTCACCCAATGGGATTTCAGAGGGGGGGGGGGCAAATCAGCCAATCAGATTTCTTTTTTATTTGTTATCAGGTATTATGGTTTACGCTTTTTCCCTTTTCTGAAAGAAAGGGTTATACGGCGGTGAATATCCTTAAAGTTTGTCTGTCCTCCTGTCTGTCCTGACCAATCAGAAAATAGAGATGCGTATATCAACTAGACTAGTGTTTCATAAATCTCAAAAATCTTTACCACGAGTTTTTGGAGTCAAGGAATCGAGCGATGACATTAGTTTTTGAAAATTTTTTCAAATAAATGTTTTTTACGAAAAAGAGAGGTTTTTAAGCAAAAAAATGTTTTTCTATAAAGTTTGATCAAACGTTTTCGAAGTCGAGGGATCGATTGGTAGTATTG